GCTCAGCACGCCAGCGACGTCTACCAGACAGGCGACCAGGTGTACTACTGGAGGGGCAACGGCAAGCCCAAGCGCCAATGGGCTTTGCAGTGGCACGGGCCCGGCATCACCATCGGGTTCGAGGGCACCTCGAACGTCTGGGCCAGCCACCGCTCCACTACCGTGAAGGTCAACCGTGGACACACCTACGCCACGCCACGGCCACGGAGCTCGCGCCGCGGGGCCAGGTGCTGGACGCGCTGAACAGCAACCAGCCGCCAGGCCCACCGCCAGGCGCCCCGCCAGGGACCTCAGGGCCCGCACCTCCTCCCGACTCTGGAGGAGGCGGCGGCGGTGCAGGCGGCGGCCCTCCGCCGCCCGGCCCAGGCGGAGGAGGGGGACCTGCTGGACCCGCGCCGCCAGACGCAGACGAGGACATGTTCCTCGACCTGACCGGACCGGCGCCGCAGAAGCGCCCCCGCAGTGAAGGTCAGCCTCCAGCGCCACCCGCGCTACCAGCACCAGCGCAGCAGCCAGCCATCGCACAGCACAACTTCGGCAACATTGAGATGTCCGCGGCAAATCAGCGCGCTCATCAGTACCATGAGTGGCTGGCCCGCCGTCAAAGTGACGGTGATTTCACTGCCAGTGGAGGAGCTAGCGGCAGTGGAGGATCGGCCCCACCGACCTCGGGAGGAGCCGTGCAGCAGCCACCGCTGCCGCCGCCAGCGGAGCCGCAGCCGCCGCCCGCGGCGGACGACCCGCCGGCGCCAGACTCAGGCGGTGCTGCCGCCCCTGCAGATGCCGCTGCTCCTGCCGCCGAAGAATTTCAACGTCCTGAACCCGCGCCTCAGGGCCCAGTCGACGGCGACGAAGACGACAAGCAGTCCGACAGTTCCGGATCGGACATGATTCGGGAGTGGGCTCAGATTGCGGAGGGGCAGGCGAGCCAGGAGACCATGGCTCGCCGCCCACTGGACACTGAGAACTAGCGCGGTACCAAGACGCAGCTCCAAGTTCGACAAGAGAACGCACCAGTGGCACTGCAGCGTGACCGCCAGCAAGAGCTCGACCTCCGCGAGCGCGCCGCAAAGCGCAAGGAGCTACTGAACGACCTGCCTCAGTGCTTCAAGAGGCCGAGGGGCACGAACAAGGTCGACCTCTACCCAGACAACTACTTCCAGAAGCACGCGGACGAGCTCTACGCTAGTACACGACTCCGTGAGGCACTGCTCACGGGGAACGCCACCGCCAAGGAGCTCAAGTACGACGCGTTGAGCGCCACCGAGAAGACGAACATGGACGCCGCCATGAAGACCGAGTGGCCCAAGTGGACGGAGTTCGGCGCCAACAAGAAGCTCCCGCCCAAGGAGCTGAATGAGCTCCTGCGGCGCAACCCTGGCATTCGCCCTGTGGGCACGCGCTGGGTGCTGACCAGCAAGGGCCAGAACGTCATGAAGGCTCGCCTGGTCGTGCAGGGCTGCCAGGAGGACAAGTCGCAGATTAGGGCGGACGCGCCTACGGGATCCAGGGACGCGCTGTACCTGACCCTCGCTGCCGCAGCCCAGAAGGGCTGGGATCTCTCGTCCTACGATGCGATGACGGCCTACCTGCAGTCGGGTAACATCGAGAGGCTGCTGCTCCTGCGCATGCCGGCCAAGAACCCGCCGCCGGGGACTCGGCCCGGCGAGATCGCCATGGCCACAGGCGCGATCTACGGGACGCGCGACGCCGGGAGGCAGTGGTACCTCCACGCGCAGAAGGTCTTCGCCGAGCACGGCCTTGTGGAAGGCAAGCTCGAGAAGGGCCTCTACTACTTCTACGACGAAGGTGGGCTCGCCGCTGTGGTCCACTCTCATGTGGGCGATTTCCTGATCGCCCAGCGCAGCAACTCCACGAAGTGGAAGGCTACCATCGCCTCGCTGGGGAAGAAGTTGCACCTCAAGCAGGTCGAAGGGGTCATCAAGTACTGCGGACGTACCATCACCAAGCTCGACGACGAGTTCCGCGCGACCCAGGCCACCGCTGCAGCGCAGGTGGACTTTGTCGACCTGAAGGCCACCAAGGGCCGAGGTGCCGAGGACCTGCTCACCGCCACCGAGGTGACGAGCTACCGCCACACGCTTGGGCAGCTGTTGTGGCTAGCGGTGCAGACCCGGGTAGACATAGCCTGCCCGGTGAGCTTCGCAGCTCGCCGCACCAACGTCGCCACCGTGGCCGACGCGAAGACGCTCAACAAGACGGTTGCCTACGTGCGCCCCACCGCGAACTTCGCGATCGTGCTCAAGCGCAAGCTCGTCGACCTGGAGACGGCCATCACCGCGTGCTTCAGCGACGCCGCGTTCGCCAACGTGGACGGCGTCAAGAGCCAGTGGGGCATGGTGATGGGGCCCTCCCACCGCCCGCGCGACGTCGTCGGTGGTCGCTACGACCTGTGTCTGCCAGTCGCCCGGCACTCCGGCACGGTCAAAAGGTCGGTGAAGTCGACCCTCGCCGCCGAGGGCTACGCCACCCTCGAAGGATCGGAGACCAACATTTGGTTCCGACAGCTGCTCACCGAGGCCTACAACCCCAAGACGGCGCTCACGCAGATTGGCGTGCTCGCCGACAAGCGCCCGGGGGAGATCTACAGCGACAGCAAGGGCCTCGTGTCGCACATCCAGTCCGATGTGGGCCAGTCTACGGACAAGCGGTTCCGCATCGTCGCCTCCATGATCAAGGAGGCCGTGCATCCCAACAGTGCGCTCAAGCTCAGTTGGATCCCGACCTGGGCCATGGTCGCGGACGCCCTGACGAAGGCCATGGAGGCCGGCGTCCTGCTGTCGTTCTTCGGGGCCCGCAAGCACACCTACGGGGCCCGGCAGCCGCGCGCCGCCATGCTCGCCTCGGTGCTGTTCACCTGCCTCGGCAAGGTCAAGGGACAGCCAACGCCGACGCCGACGACGCCGGACTTCAGCTACTACCTGTGCCTGCTGACGTTCGCGCTGTTCTACGGTATGGCCATCGGGTTCGGCATCTTCATGATGCTGTGGACGATCATGAGGCAGAACCACGCGACTGCCACCGAGCAGAGCGTCGCCGAGGCCAAGGCCATGGGCGAGCACCCTGGCTGAGACGGCCGCCTACTGGGCCGGCGCCGCAACATACCGACGATCCCTGAGGACCGTGACTATGACGGCGATGTCATCATGCAGCCCCCTGGAGGCGCAAGCAGTGCGAGTTCAGCGACATCGGCGTCTGGCGTGTCTTTCGGACACCATCCATCGCAGCCACCAGTTCCAGCATTTCCAGCACTGCAGCAGCCGCCGATGCCGCCAACACCGCCACCTCCCAGTGCATCGCCATCACCGTGCACGGCAACATCGACCCCGGGATTGGGACGATCGAGGTCAGCAAGGGCCTCAAGCAGCTCAGGCAGCTCGGCACCTACATCGCCAAGCATCGTTTCCGTGACGAGCTCATCGAGTGCGATCAGCACCAGTGGAGTCCAGTGGCACGGGTCGTCGCCTACGGTAGAGCCCAGCGACCTGCTTGATTGCATCAGCAACCGGCACGACTTCGTGGTCGGCCACAACTCGCACAGCGTATACATCACCTGCAAGAGCTGCAAGAAGCACGCGTCTTGGCTGACCCGTTGCTATCGCAACAGCAACCCGGATTTCACGATCTTCCCGCCGGGCATGATGCGCGACCTCATGGGTCGATGGCGCAAGATCACAGGCCGAGAGTGCGGGCGAGGATCAGATTTGACGGACAAGCCGATGAAACCCAACAAGGGCGACTGATCCATGCTGCTGCCCAGACTGTCGCGGTTCTTCATCGCGACCTTGCTTACGTAAGTCCGCATTGCTGTTCCAGATTTCACACCTGGTGAAAAGATTTACACGTAACTCCGCATTTCAGAAGCTTCAGTTCAGTGTGCACAGTTTTTGATGTGATGACGATCACACCCATTCAGATGGCTCTTTTGAGTTTTGTCGCTTCGCGATCGGACTCTAGCCATGCCTTGTCTTTGATTATCGCGCCGGCGGCGCTGAGAGCTGAGAATACCCTGCAGGTCGCGTGTAGCGCATCCGCTTAAGTGCTCCGTGGGCTGCCTGCGATTGCAAGCCGTGTCGAGCCGTTTGCTTGCCTTCTGCCAGCGCGCCTGGCCTCTGCCAAATGAAGTTAGCGCCAGGCTTATATGCCCGGCTGCTCATGGCGCATCGTGTGCGCCCGCCCGCTGCTTTTGAGCGCCGTGCAGGAGGAGTGTGATTCCAGAAGACTCGCTTCGCTGCTCTTCTCACTCGCTCTCTGCTGTTGATGCTCAGCTGTCCAGGGTCTCTCTGCCGCCGCCCGTTTTGGCTCTAATAATTTTAGGGCCCTTGGCCGATTGAGCTACGATCCGCTCTGCGAGCGTTTCCAAAACGATAGATCCGCGATCTCTCCATATCACGACAAGGACCGGCGAACGCCTTTGACCACCATCAAACAACCCGAATGCACAACAAGATCACCTTCACACAGTTTTGGTAACTGAACGAAAGCATGCGGCTAAGCACGGGGTGGGCTCTGCTCGATCGTGGGGAGGATGCCGAAGGCGAGTGAATTAAGGCCACCATCAGGCCCACGACCGGGGGGAGGAGCACAGCGTAGCGGGAGAACGTTCTTTGGTGGGGTCTCGACACCCCAGCTCCTCCAAAGGCCAACCAAAGCTAGGCCGGCGCAGAGGCTCGGCCTGAAACTACCCAATGGGGGGTGACCGCAAGAAAGGTGTTGAAACACGGCATGCAGTTATCTAGAGTCTAGGGGGAGGAAGAGGAAAAAGGAGGAGGAAGAAGATGAGGAGCATGAGCATGAGCATGACCGTGGGGCGCCGATCCATGACCACTCTGTCGGCTGAGGCGGCGGAGGATGATGAGGAGGGGCGGAAGAGGAGGAGTGAGATGTGGGAGGGAGTCGGAGGGGCAGGAGGAGGAGGGAGACGGGGACCGAAGTCGGAGGGGCAGGAGGAGGCGGAGACTTGCACTTGCCCTGGCGACCGCCTCATCGAACCAGACGACGTGCTGCCCGCCGCGGGCCCTCTCCTGGCCCGGGGCCGCCCGGCCCGAGGGAGGCCCAAGACCACAGAAGACCAACCCGACATCACGAGCACAAGCTCTCGCCGAGGTCCAGGCGGATCTGTCTTTGGGTCGGTGCGGGGGCCCTCCCTCCCAACGCCCCCGGCGCGCTCCGTGCCCGGGGGGAGGGCGCTTGGGGCCCATCGCCGACCCAAGCAATCCGCGCGGGCCTCCAAAACCTTGTTGTTTGTAAAATGGTGATGGCTTTCCGAGCCGATCGCGCTGGTCAGCCGACCTCCCGACTTGAGAGGCCCTCTTTGGCTGCTCCTGCCAAGACCTCCGACGTCCCGACTCTTTCAGTGCGCAGGTGCTCCTGAACTCTCGGCCCCTTCTCTCGCACCGGCTTCTCGGGCGGGTGGCAGTGGGAGGTGACCCCAAGGGGGGGGTGAAGACAAAGGCCCTAAAGGGGCCTTTTAGGGCCCTTTTCGTCACCCCCCCGTGAGGCCACCCCTCGTTAACACCCGCCCGAGCCGGGAGCCGGTCTTCCGTGGGTCCTGGGCTTGGAGCGGGCCCAAAGCCCAGAAGAAAGCGGGCCGCCCCGACTCTCTCGTGCCTCGGAGCTTCGATCCTTCGAACCTCCCCGACCAAGCCGGGACGTAACTACATTGCACCAGGGAAAAGCCCCAATCAGTGGATGGTTTGATCGATGGTGAGCTCGATCGTGGGATCCCGAAATCGGCCCAGAACCAGCAACCAGGAACCCAGGAACCCGGAACTGGGAATTCGGGAACCAAGTCGGCTACCGAAATCGGCCTGGACTGTCGCCAAATCTTTCAATATTCGCTAGGACCGCTTCAGTGCACGCACTGATTGGGGAAAAAGGGGGGGGTAGTATCGGGGACCTCCCAAAAGGGGGACTCGCAACTCATGGCCCGAGGCATGTGCGCGGACCACGGGGGGGGGCGCCGTATTAAGATAAGAAGAGGGGGCCAGTAGAAATGGGAAGATCTCACGGCCCTGGCCCTGGCATCCACCCTCCCCTAGTCATCACCCCCCTCTTGGCCGCCCCCGTAAAAAAGAGGGCTGGCAAATCAGTTCACGTAGCCGGCTTTCCTGACCCAAGAGGCGACCACCTGCCCAACGGAGGGGGCCGCGTCCAGCTGCATGCAGCAGATGTTGTACCCCCTCTCCCCCCCTCCCTGTCACGACGCGACCAAGGTTTGGGGAGACGTGAGGCTCGATGTTGGGAAACCCTGCCTGTCGATGGCGTCGGGAGAATGATAAAACCTAGTCTGAAATTTGACGCGACCTCCTGCTGCAAAGCCGGACTGTCAAAATCCATGCCAAGACAATCGATAAGCGACGGCAAAACCGAACCCCGGCAAACTCGAGACTTACGTTTCGCCGAAAGGCCTTCTCAAAAACGCTCCATTAACCCCGCCGCGTTGTATGCTGGCCGTGGCGACGAGGAACCCCCAGGGACGCCCCCCGAAACGTAGTCGTGAGATGAACACGGCGCAATGCCACCCAGCTCCTCCAGCGCTCTGCGGATGACGCAAGCCCCTGGGTGGGCCCGAAGCCTGGCAACGCCTGAGACAACAAGTCCTGTACGAACCTATCGGTTGGCTTGCAATAGCCCCATCGGTAGGGTATGCATAAGCCTGTAATGGGCCTAATAGGCTACGCACGGGCCTGTGACAGGCCTATGGGTACTCCAAACAGAGGCCGATGTTTGGCGTACTATAGGCCCACCATACGTCTGTGAATAGGCCTACACACAGGGTGCCCGTACGTGTATGGTCAGCCTAGAACGGGCGTGCGAGCGCAACCATTAAGCCGACGGCAGGCCAATGCATAGCCGACGCATAGGCATATAGCTTTGAATATAAGCCTATAGTAAGGCTATAGGTTTGCTGTGGAACGGCCTGCTGTCGGATGCAGTGGGCTTATAGTAACCCCACCGTAGGCTTAAGGTAAGCCTATACATCGCCTGTGGCTAGGTAATGGTAGGGCCATGGGCAGCCGATTGGTCGGCCTGTACACGGGGTGCCGCGGGCTTGCAGTATGTCTGTAGTAGGCCTTTTGGTCGGCCTATGCGTAGCCTGCGGTAGGCCATGGGAGAAAAATAGCCAACGAGAGGGAGACACACATATTGCTCTCCTCATATTTTTACAGGCCGGGGGTGGGGAAACCCCGTCCCCCCCAACAACAAAAAGCTTGACCCAAAGGATCGCGGGTTTCTAGACCCCCCAAGCACCCTTGCCAAAGGTCCGCGGGCTCGTCCCGGATTTCCCAGATCGCTTAGCTGGGTCCTGCCAGCAGGCCCCAAGCGATCAGAGCGGTGAACAGAGAGGCCGACAAGAGATCCAAGACAACACAAGAGCGCTCAAAGAAGGACCCAGATGGCCTCCAGAGGTCCCCAAGACAGCCCAGGAGGCCCTCAACAGGGCTCCCAGAATGCAGAAATCACTCCCTTAGGAAGACTGGCATTTTCAGCACATTCGCTGTTCGGGTCTTAGCAGCGCCCACAACAGCCAAGAAGGCCTCAAGTATCGCCCCAAGACGGCCCAAGAGACCCCCAAGAGAGCCTATAGACGGCCTGGATAGCCCCAAGACTGCCCAAGGAAGTCCCAAATGAGCCAAAAAGAGGCCCAACAAGCCCTCCCAAGGCCCCGAAGCGATCAGAGCGGTGATCAGAGAACCCGAAGAAAGACCCACGACAGCACAAGGGCGCTCCAAGAAGGACACAGAGGGCCGCCAGAGGCCCCCAAGACGGCCCAGGAGGCCCTCAACAGGGCTCCCAGAACGCAGAAATCGCTTTATACCCTGAGGGAAACGTGCATTTTCAGCACATTCGCTGTTCGGGTCTTAGCAGCGCCCAAAACAGCCCTCACAAGGCCCCGAAGCGGTCAGAGCGGAGATCAGAGAGGCCGAAGAAAGACCCAAGACAGCACAAGAGCGCTCCAAGGAGGACCCAGAGGGCCTCCAGAGGTCGCCAAGACAGCCCAGGAGGCCATCAACAGGGCTCCCAGAACGCAAACGTCGCTTCATCGCCTTCGGGAAACGTACCTTTTCAGCACATTCGCTGTTCGGGTCTTAGGAGCGCCCAAAACAGCCAAGAAGGCCTCAAGTATCGCCCCAAGACGGTCCCAGAGACCCCCAAGAGAGCCTATAGGCGGCCTGCACGGCCCCAAGACTGCCCGAGGAACCCCGCATGAGCCAAAAAGAGGCCCAACAGGCCTTCACAAGGCCCCGAAGAGAAGTCCAAGAAGACCATGGGAGGCCCCCCCAAAAGGCCATGGGAGGCCAACAGGAGGGCCTACGTAGCTAGAGGGCCCAAGCTTTCCAACACGGCCCAAGATGGCCCCCAGACGGCTCGAGACGGCCCCAAGCCGGCCAGCCCACCAGGGCTCCAACAAGGCCCACACGGCGTTTTCCAACAAACTGACACGACTCCCGGGCTCGCAACCACAAATCCCCAAAAATCTGTTGCGAACCCGGGATCGGGTGCATTCCCCAAGAATTGCGTCCGCGTGCCTCGTTGAGACCCACTGCAACCCGCTGCAACCCGCTGGAACATCTTCGCCGGCCCCCGACGGCGCCCTCCTCCTCCTCCTCCTCCTCGTCCTCCTCCTCGTCCTCGTCCTCCTCCTCCTCCTCCTCCTCTTCCTCCTCTTGCTGCCGCTCCACCACTCGTCCACCCCCACATCCACTTCCTTTCCTCGCTCTCCGAGATTCCCTCCCTCCTATCCTTCGCCCTCCACCAGGCGCCTTTCGGGAGCCCCCAGAGGCCCGGGAAGGGCCAGGGTCCGCCCGAAATTTCGAAGACTTCTGAAAACTATTGCAGGGAAGGGGCAAAAAATCCAAGGCCACTGGGGATGGTGCAAACGACCAACATATGCAAAGCCTCAAGGACTAAGGTGCATTGCGCGAAGCGCCAATGCAGTCTTGTACATATATAGACAATTAAAAACGACAACAGAGAGAGAGAGAGAGAGAACGTGAACAGAGACACATCCATACAAGAAGAGACAGGGCTAAAGAGAGTGCACAGAAACAAAGTTCGCCAGATGCAACATAACTAGCATGACATAAGCAGAGGGATATGATGGTGGTGGTGTTGGTGGTACTGATGATGATGATGCTGCTCATGCTGATGATGTTGATGATGCTGATGTTGATGCTGATGCTGGTGCTGATGCTGACGCTGCTGATGATGCTGATGCTGATGATGATCATAGTGGTAGTGATGATGATGCTGATGCTGATGCTGATGCTGATGTTGCTGATGATGATGTTGATGATGATGGAGGACGAAGAAGAGGAGGAGGAGCAGGAGGAGGAGGGGGAGGAGGAGGACAGAAGAAAGACGCGCAGGAGGGGGGGATGACGAGGGCTGGGGGGTCCAGGGAGTAAGGGCAAGAAAAGGAGGCGAGAGCGGATGGGGCACGGCCGGGGAAGCAGAGAGAAGGACACAGAGAAGGGCGAGCGCTTCCCAGCATCACCCCTCCCCAGCGCGCTGGCATCCGAGGGCGTGCCCGCCAAGCGATAACGAGCAGTACCGATGCGACGCCCATGAGCCGCACTGTAGAAGGCTGGGGCATCTTTGGCCCGCAACTTCGGTGACGTTGTATTAAAGAAGCGTTCGCCACAACCTCCAAAAAACTTTGCTGCGAGATGCTCTTTATTGCGCTATCGCGTTTTTGTTTAATGCGTGTTCAGTTGTCCGGCCTCGTGCCTTGGGGCCCCAAGTCTCGGGGGCGCGCAAACATGGATTAGCGATCCATGGATTTGGTGCGCGGTCGCCAAATCCATGGACCGGGGGAGGTGCCCTCCCCAAAATGCAGCCAGTGCCGCCTCGTTCGGCGGCGGGAATCCGCGATTTCCCATGGAAACGGGACCCGCCGCTAATCCACGCCTCCTTGATCCATGTTTGCGATCACCTGACTTGGCCCCAGGTCTCGATGCTTCACAGGGGGCCTCGGGTCTCGATTCTTCGCCTGGGGCCCCAAGGCGTGTTTCTTCACAGGGGGGCCCAACTCTCGATGCTTCGCTTGCGGCCCACAGTGGCGACTGTTCACTTGGAGCCCCAAGGCTCGATTCTCCTCTTGGGGCCCCACGTCTCGATTCCTTCGGGCCCCAGAATCTCGATTCCACACATGCGGCCCCCCCTTTCGATTCTTCACGTGGGGCCCCAAATGTCGATCCGTCGCTCGTGGCCACGAGTCTCGATCTCACCTTGGGCCCCGAGTCTCGACTCCTCACTTGGCGGCCCCAATGTTTCGACTCCTCACTCGGGGCCCCGTGTCCCGACTCTTCACTCGGGGCCCCAAGTCTCGATGCTTCCATTGTGGCCCTGAGCCTCGATGCGTCACCCGGGGGGCCCCCGTCTCGACTCCGCCCGTGGGGCCCCGAAGTCACGACCTCACACGTGGGGCCCACCGTGGAGCCCATGCACGGCCTGAGCGCAGCAGTGCCGCAGGCCCATGCCTGAGCCCACCGCAGGCCCGTGGCTGGCCGATGCGCAGCCGATCGCGGAGCGTGGGCCCCTGCAGGCTCCAGGTCTCGAGTCTCCCCTCGGGACCCCAAGTGAAGAATCTTCCCTCGGGACTGCAAGTGTCGATTCTTCCTTTGGAGCCCGAAGCAACGATCCTTCCTTCGCATGATGCCCCGAGTCTCGACTCCGAACTGAAAGCCCGAAGTCGCAGATCTTCACTTGGGACCTCAAATCGCGACTCTTCACTTGAAGCCCCAAGTCGAGACTGTGCACTTGGGGCCACGATTCTTCAAATGAGGTCCAAACTCGCAATTCGGCACTTGGAGCCAACCAAGAGCGCATCTGTAGCCTACGCGCAGGCCTACCATCGGCCTATGCCTAGGCTATGCGTAGCGCATGCGTAGGCCTATGATAAGTCTCTATGCCCAGGTTGTGCAAAAGCCCACCGCGGGGCGTCGGCCCCCTATAGGCCTACCGAAGTCCCCTACAGGCCATCCGTAGGCCGACCATACGCCCAGGCGTCGCCGATGCCTGGGCCTCTGGAACATCTGCGCGCAAGCTATGCGTAGGCGTATCGCGAGGCGCCGGGCCTCCTACCGCGGGCCTATGCTCAGCCTTCGCATGAGTCTATGGTAGTTATACGCGTTGGCCCTGCATAGGCTTATGGTGGAGCGCTGGCCACCTGTAGGCCCATAGGCCTATGCACAGCCGATGCGTATGCTTATAGCAGGCCTATGCGCAGGCTATGCGCAACCACATCGCGGGGCGTCGGCCCTCTACAGGCTCACTTGAGGCCCACCTGAGGCCAATGCATGGCCTGTGCGTAGGCTCATGGGAGGCCCATGCGCAGGCTGCTATGCGTAGGTCTACAGCATGTCCATGCCATGCGTAGCCCATGTGCAAGCGATGTATGCAGAAACATCGGCACACCAAAAGCCTATAACGGGTTCCTGGCTACCTGGACTCGGATGTGTAGCAGACCTGTGCGCAGGCTACCCGTAAGCCCATGATACACTGGTCTATAGGCTACACATCAGCCTGTGACAGGCCTACTCGCGGGGTAGGCATCGGCTTACTATAGGTCTACAAGTGGCCTACGCGTTACAGGCCTGTACATCAGCTATGCATCGGCCAATCGTGGGCGTATAGGACGGCTGTGGATAGGCCTAGGGTAGGCGTATATGCAGGCTATGCATAGGCCAATGGGAGCCTGCAATCGGCCATGCATAGGCTATACTCTAGACTATTGATTGGGGCGGAGGACGACGAATGAGGAGGGAGGGGGGGCGGAAATCGGGGGAGGACTCTAAATCTGATTCTGACTGGTGGCGATGCCAGCGCGCGGGAGCTGAGCCCTCAAAGAGAGCACGACGACGACGAAGACGACAGACACGACGACGACGAGATGACGGCACCAGCCGCGGCAGCAATGGCCGCGGCAGCAGCGGCGGAGCGGACGGGCGCCGGCCCACTCAGCGGACAGGTCGTGCACTGCCCTTGCATTTGAGGGGGAGAGAAAATGAGGGGGGGGGGAGGAGCAGGGGGAGGTGGAACGGTTGGGAGGAGGGAAGCTCCAGAAGACGGATGTTCCGAGCAGGACCTATGGTCTTGTGACGGGCGACTGATGGGACGGATGATGGAGGAGAAGGAGGAGGTGGAGGAGGAGGAATATGAGGCGGAAGAGGAGGAGGAGGAGGATGAAGAGGAGTCGGAGGACGGATGACGAGGAGGAGGGAGAGGAGGAGCAGGAGGAGGAGAAGGAAGAGGAGGAGGTGGAAGAGGAGGAGGAGGAGGAGGTGGAGGACGAGGAGGAGGAAGAAGAGGAGGAGGAAGAGGAGGAAGAGGAGGAGGACCAGTGTAAACCCAAATGCCATCAACGATGTAGGAAGACACCCTCCCTCCAAGCTGCCTCTTCATAGGCCCCATACAACGGTTCCTTTCCATAGAAGGATCTGCCTCGCTGGAAGACAACCGTTTGAAGTCCCGGAAACACGCCCAAACATTTTCTCGGGACTCCAACGCCACGGATCAACTTGACTGTTGCGTCTTGACGATCCTGGATCGTGCCGAACCGCAATTCTTGGGATTTCAACACCGCGAATCAACGTAACTGCTGCAACCGCAAAATCCGGAATCCTTCCAAAACGCCAGTTCTAGTACGTTGAGTGTGGGAATCCGTGATACTCTTGCAAATTCTAAAACGAATGTGCGCGGCGCTAAGGCGAGAGTCACATTTTGAAAAGGAGCCGCCCTCAATCCTTGAAGCTCTTGCAAATGTTTAAAACGAATGTGCGCGGCCCTAAGGCGAGAACCACACGTTGAAAAAGGAGCCGCCCTCGATCCGTGAAACTCTTGCAACTGTTTATAACGAATGTGCGCGGCGCTATGGCGAGAGCCGCATTTTGAAAGCCACCCGCCCTCCATCTGTGAAGTTGTTGCTAATGTTTGAGCTTCAGAGTCATGAGTGGTGCGGAAGTCTCAGGCGAAACGCTGGGCCCGCCCCAAAAACAGGCCTCGGGGTGCGATAAGGAGAAGCTGTTTATAAGGAAACGGAATGTAAGAGGAGGGGAAGAAGGAGGAGGGAGGAAGAGGGGGAGGAGGAGGAGGATGATGAGGAGCCGGAGGAAAAGGAGGAGGAGGAGGAGGAGGAGGAGGAGGAGGAGGAGGAGGAGTAGGAGGATCAGGAAGACGAGGGGAAGAGGAGGGGAGGAGGAGGGGAAGGAGGAGGAAGAGCAGGAGGAAGAAGAGGAGGAGGACGAGGTGGAGGAGGAGGAGGAGGAGGAGGAGGAGGAGGAGGAGAGGAAGGGGTGGGGGGATTGGCGGGGGGTGAGGAGGGGGAGCAAGGAGGAGAGGGGCGGGAAAACGATGAGGGCGAAGGGGCGATATCCCACCATCCAGAAGAGAAAACGATTTGGGCGGGCTCCGACGCCCGTTTTGTGGCCGAACGACATCGGTCCTTGTCCACGAGCCGACGGGTGACCCAGCCCTCTGCCGCGGTGTCACCCTTGCCGTCGGCGTCCTCCCCCGGCCTCAGGCACCTGATCGGCAGGCGGCAGATCGTCCCCCTTCTCCTCGTCTTCTTTCTAAACATAATCTAGGAGCCATGTTTCCCGAGACGGCAAGCTAATAACTCCACCAAACAAGGCTGCAGTGCACAACGACGGTTACCCTACTGAGTGTGGTAAGTAACTCCTGGACAACACGCGAACTCTACAGCACTGGTTGCCCAGTCGGACCGCTATAAACAAGCCCCCCCCAAGCTGACAAGCCGAATGTGGAGACGAATGATCGATGCGCAACAAAAGCGACAGGGTGAGCAGCCATGACTCCACTCCAGCAGTGGAAGTTGTATAGTGCAGCGATATGGAGCATTACAGGTGTTAACAAACGGCGGCTATGAAGTGAACGTACACGTGGTGCACTACCTTTATGTGTCTCAAAGCACCACGTCATGCAATGCGATTAACATATTCAGGAGTTGAGGTTCTACTTGCGTAGACGAGCACCTGGGCCTCACCTAGTCCTGGGCTCAAATGTTCGGTAAGGCGGCGTGCGATGATAATCTGGATATGGGTTAAGCGAGCACTCCAAAGCGGGCGCCAGCTCGCGACTTCACAAACAATGCGTGGTGATGATAGGTAGTTCGCATGTGCATGGGCATGTCGCCCCTGCCCACAGTTTGTTTAGTCTTATATTTTTCCCGAAGAAACTAAAAAGTCTGCAAGGATCATGGGTTCCAACTGCCATCACTTTGACAGCTTCTTGTCTCACCGTCTTTCGTAAACAAAAATTCACACACCTCGGCGAGTCCAGCTTTTCCTGGCCTCCCGGGCATGCAGTGGCGATGGCCGCACAAGCATCGGTCTATAACGCAATACTGCAATGAACATCGAAATGTCTGAGAAATTGCCACGGTCTCAACGCAACTGAAATCCCGCTACGCTTTGAATCATAATCAACGACCGCAATCCCCACATAACTGTTCCGCCACTCGTTGATTTGGGCATCTTCTTGTGTACGGCAGGGTCAGTGCCAATCCACGCTGATAACCCCTTAGGGAGCTCATTGTGCCAGCGCTGGTATCCACGCCTGTCGTGCTTCCTGAAGTACTTACCCCAACGCGCAAGACTTTGCCGTGCTCCTCGGGTCGGGGCCGACATTGAACGCGCGAGCCCCTTGACAGAGAACTGTATACCTGATCGGCCAAGTACACATTGATTTGCCCTGGCCTCTAAAGCTGGGTACTTCTCAGCTGCACGGCTTGCTATTATTCGCAGGTCTGATTCTTGCCTGGCAGTTCCCATCTTACTTGGCACTGCGTTATGCCCATATATTTAAACAGCTGTCTCAGCATGCCCTTGGGCAGCCTCAAATCACGAACCGCCCCTGCTCCACTCCGCAATTTGGATGCGGGCCCTGGCCAACTTCAAACTTATTGGTCCTGGCGGCGAAGAAAGCCACCAGCGTTGAACTTCAATGTTAGTTTGAGTTGCTGTAGCGAACCAATCGGGACGAATGTCAGTACCCAATGAAGTATAGTCGTCCCCACGTACTGGTAGCCAGATCCACCATGCCTCATGGTTAAGCGCGTGCGTCGATGCTATCCCATAATCAAAAGTCCCAAAGCCACGATCTAATTTCCTAAGTTGCTGGCTGCATCCCGAGTGCCGCATATGGACTACGGCAATCTTCAACGCGCGCCCTGCTCGCGATTTCCCCCAGGCAACCTGGTAAACATGCTCTTTTTGGACTCGGCGTTGAATTATGCCCGTCTAGCGTCTACAAGCGCCTGCTGTAGCCCGTTCTCACGCCCCCCAGGTCTACGCCCCATCCCCTTGGCAAGAGCCACTGGGTATCCACTTTTTGGGCTTCCAGCGGAGAAGCGGCAGCAAAGGTGGGCCACTTGACTTGCTGGGCCACCAGCTGGGATCGGCACTCAGAGTTGACCTCGCCCCCTTCGCCGATATCCATCAATTTCGTGCTAGCGGGTGCCTGGCCAGTAACCGCCCGCCATTTCCCCCACTTGCTCATAGCCCTCGCGTTCCCTCGATTTCTCCACCCCCTGCCCCCGAGCATTTAACGTGCGTTCTGGATCAAGCTCACTTCCTGCTGCACGATGCAAGGCCTGTGCTCTCCCATATTCTCGGAGGGCCGCGCATGTCACCCGCGATGATTTGCTGCGTCTCGGCAGCGCCCCAGCATGCCCCGCGCGCCCCTGGAACTTGCGACGCTCCGAAGCTCCATTGGCACTGGCGGAACTCAGTGGGCGAATTCTGTGGCCACGTTGCGAGCTCCTGCTCTGCGCGCTCTCCTCCGCTCCTCTAATCTCGCCGACGCCCCTGTCCTCGAGAACCTGGCAGGTGTCCGAGTCCTGAGTAGTTCCGCGCAGACATGCGCTCCATGTTGGCCCTGCGCTTATTGGAAACACGAGGCGAGATGCGCGGCGGTCTTTCCCGGCCCAGGCCGACCGAGGCCCGTCTCCGCACTCGCCCGATGCGCGCGCGATCTCATCAATGTCCATTCCTTCGTCTGGCTCGCTCCGAATGACCTCGGGATCGCAGGTTCTGACAGGGCGCCCCGATCGGTCGTTGGCCGTCATCTGGCCAGCTTGGCCTTCAAATAACTGGGTCTGCATATGATCGTCTCGTTCTTCCTCTTGCGCATAATTAGGGGCTGTTGGTCGTGGATCGCGCGGGTTTCTTCGCGCGCACTTCCTCTCCGTTTGCCGCCTGCTTTGGGTCGTGGCAGCACGGGCGCCCGTCGTGTCTGCACGTTCGCGCCCTGGCATTCTTCTGCGCTGACGATATGGTCCAGCTCGACCCTGACGCATGGTGCTCAAGAGTAAGATGCAGCCCGTTTTTCTGTGGTCGAGCCGCTCAGGTCATGGTAGTTGTAAGATTCGGGATTTAGAAAAACGGCCCCGGACCTGGAGCATCCGTTTTTTGAATGTCGTAAACCGGCTTTCGCCTTCACTAAATGAGGTTTTAGCTTGTCTTAGGCGACGCATTTTACTGCATTCGTCTGACGCGTGAGTAAGTCATCCTGTTTTCAATTCTTTGTTCTAGGCATGCGCGTTCACTCGCTACCAAAACCCATGTTAGCCAATGATTCCACGCATCTCACATAGTTCCAGCGTGAACGTCAGATCCCTGACCTCGCAATCAAACACTTCCTTTGTCGTATCCGGCCCCGAACGTTTCGAGACACATGCCTGCAATCTACCGGGGGCTGCGCGCATCGGACATGCGATTAAACTCGGAAGCAGCTTTGCTCTTGATGGGTTTCTGCGTTTTCGCTCGCGTCGCCTCGCAAGCAAAATCTCAGAGGCTGTCGTATTCATCGCGCGTAGTTAAATCCATGGGCAACCGTGGTGCGCGCCCCATTTTCGCTGCACTGCCAGTGGCCCGGGCTGGCACGTGGGCCTACTCATGGGCGCGCGGCGGCAGATTTCGCGGGCCGTTGCCGCATGACCGAACTGCCCTTGCTTCCATGGGCCTTGCTGATGACCTCCAACTTAGCGCTGAGTAACCAATCCGCCACTCTGGTGTCGAAACCCACCGCGCCTGAGTGGCTGGGCATCTCACCCGCAATGCACTGTCCTGTTCTTCGCCTGCGTGCCCGGGCGATCTGCAATCCACGTCCTCGTCGTCTGGCCCCATGCTGACCTCGACCCCAGTGTCCTCCTGCAGTGTCTACTCATTCTTACCCTCTTCTTCGCTGACTTCTCTGGCCCTCTCTTCATCCCCGGGTTCTTCCACCTTTCTCTTCGCCGCCGCTGGCCCCGGCGGGATAACGCCGGCTGGTCGCGCGTCGTCGTCGCGACCAAGGGCGGCGCCGAACCCGGTCCAGGCGCCGTCCAAGGCTCCCGCATCTCCTCGACGGAATGAACCTTCCAGCCATGTCTCACGTCCTCTATTTCGCTGGTCTTATGATCTATGCCATGTGTTCGAATTGCGCTGCTCTGTCGCTTGGGGGATCTCACTCCTATGTCATTGGACGCGCGCGTCATAATTGTTGCTTCGCAGCGTCGCTGGATTTCTGCCCCGTCTTTGAATGCTCAATTATCCAGCATTTACCCCTCGTGCCTGTTCTGCCCGGCGCTGCCTGGCTCCGCTCCCATCTGGACCGCCGCTTGCCCCTCCCGGGTGTTCGGTTTCACTTGTCCTTTAAGCCGCTCGATAACTCTTTCGCGGCATTCTGGGCCGCGCGGTTCACGCGCGCCGTCTCCTCGAGCTAAAGCTTTGCAGCCGTGGCTCCCTGGCGTGAGCCCCCTGGCCGTGCGCCCTGATTTCCGCGCGCCTGTTCCTCTGGCCCCTGGCGGCCTGGCGTCGACCGTCGAATCCTGCCCTGGCGCTGCCATGTGCGATATCGCCTTGGATGCAGCGTCCACCCCGCGCGCTTGGGGCGGGCTGCCAAGGCGCCCCTCGCGCGTTGGCAACCTCTTTCTTCCAGCTTTCACCTCTCCTCTTCGCCCCCTCTGTTCAAGCCCGCGGGATTTGATGGCCCCGACGTGGGCGCTAATGATGAGCGTCTGACTTGTTGCGAGCGCTCTCGAAAACAAGTCACTCCCCCATCTTGCTGCGAGGTCACTGTTCCCCTCTCGGGGGAACGCTTGAGTTCGCGACGCATGCTCCGATATCTGGGGGCGCCGCGTTGAAACCGCGCCCTCGGCGCCCTCCATGGGCCGCCGGCGTCGACGGCGAACTTGTTTGCGGAGGGGGGGGGGGGGGGGCGCGTGAGCAACTGCTCACTGCGTGAATGGGTGCATGCCCCTGCGAATTCCGCCTTGTACTTTTGGTCCAGAGCGATGTCTAAGGTTCGGAACTGTCTTTGCCTAGTTCTCGTCGCTCTTTCGACCTCGCTGTTTGCTGGGGAATCTCCGGCGGGGCTAGCTTCCGCCCGTGCGTTGAGGTCGCGCGTAGCGTTGGCGGCCTCTTTGCGCGCCGTGGCGGGCGACCCCCGCCCCCTCCGTCGCATTTGATGGTGGCCCTCCTACGCCCATTGCACGAAATCGCGCCGCGAACAACTTCGGTCGATT